TAGCAGAAACTGCCCCAATAGAAGAGATCTCTGGCGCTGCCCTCTGTGCATCTGGCCTTTTTGTCCCAAGCACTTTGGCAAGTATTATTATGGTAGTTTTAGTTCCTTTAGATTTGGTGTTTAATTTGTTTGTGGACTATGTTCATCCATGGCTGCCCAGGCGCCACCGAGTCTGAACTGCCAGCTGTGCTCCTTGGTGGTGATGCAAGCTTCAGTGCCAAGACCTTGGCCCAATCGAACCCAGTTGGAGCAATTGAGCTGATGGCTGGTGATTCACCAGAATGTGGCTAAGCTTAGGGTTACTTCATGTTTGACAAATAAGCCCAAAGGTTTCAAGGTGTCCCAGCCAGTCTTGAATTTTAGCACTAATTGGACTAGGTATGCCGCCCCGCCACATGCAGCACATGACTATGACAGCATTTTATGATCTCTATGTGCTGTGGTGCAAGGGAAACCACCATGAAGATGATGTGGCCAAAATGGGATGCTTTTCTCAGATCTATGATCAGTGGAAGCAGTTGCTCCAATTTCGTGAAGTTTCTCAACATGCGCGGTGCCTTCAAGTTGTTTTTTGGTTTCTGGTTTTCAAGTTTTTCCACATCTCTGAACTTGAAACGCCTTATATACTGGTCATGTTGTTTAGTTACTATTGTTTATGGTAGACTTACTAGTTGCTGCAACCACAAATTTGCCCAACTATCAGGTGCACACAGTGTGGTGAATTTGCACAGCGCATGCGCAAGGTGTCCTTACAGCATGAGCGGGACCAACTTGAGCAAGCACAATCTATTCATGTGCGGAACACCCGCATGTACAGGACTACACAAACACGATTGAACTCGCTGTCAGAGCAATCTGTGCAGCAGGGCTCTTCTGATTGTTGTGTGCTGAAGTTGGATATAGACGGCCTTGACCAACAAAAGACAAGGTACCCCAGAGTGGGATGGAATGTGAAGAGCATGGCAAACTGCTGGCGTCCTCAGATACACCTTCTGGGGTGTATAATATGGGGAGTCCCTTACTTTCAACTAGCATGGAGTTCTGGGGTGTATCCTGTTTTTGTGCCTAGTTGTATGTGGTGGTCATCATAGAAATATATAGAAATACTATCTTGGCATTTTCTGTTACAATGTGGACCTGATTGGGTCTAAGGTTGTGGAGTGCTACTTTGTCTTGGAGCCTGATGTCCCCAAAGACAGCTCTACAGAGGTGACTTGCATCATGAAGGCACTGGACCATGCGGCAGCAATACTCAAGAGCAGAGGATGTCCTATGCCGCCCCATCTCATCATTGAGGCCTTTTTGCCAAAAGGTCTTAAACACATTGTTTGGCATGGTTCTCAACCTGTAGAAATTTGTTACAGTTAGGGGATCAATAATGATATGTTTCTGGGATTCCTGAAAAGACTCAATCAACAACTAAATTTGCCAATGGTTTTTTAAAGTTTAACTGCTGACCCTGCAGACGGACAACTGTGCTAGAGAAGGCAAGAACCAAATTGTTGCCAAAGCATCAGCAATGGCAGTTTGCACCAACCGGTCACTTGATCAACACAACCTGTTTTTGTACCAATTTAAGTTCAGTGAAAGGGGTTTGGCAACCATCCTAGACCACCCAACCCCTTCACTTTCTGAGCCAAGGTTCTCCTCGGTCACACACACCTTCGCTGAAGTGGGCCACACTCACGGGCCAGTTGACCAGCGCCTGAGCATCATTGTCTCTGCATTCTCCAATGCTGATGTCATACAAACTCCACAGGAGGGTGGGAGATACCATCTATTTAGAATTATTAGTGGGTGACTAGTGACTAGTAACTTCAACCTGACTATTTAAGGTCAATGGTTAATGGTGGCTGTTTATTCAAATTGTCCCTGAAGGACTTTGTTGATATCATCAAAGCAAAGGTCCATCCAGTGCGCAATCGAGAGTTGAGGGCTGAAGTGCTCTTTGGGAGCTTGGACATCAAGTCTTACTATGACCAGCTGGGCCTCTATGTGAGTGGATTGGTTTCAAGCCGCAACCCAGACCGCAGCTTGAACCACTGCTGGCGCTTCATTAGAAGATCTGACCCTTGGTGTTCTTCTCTATGCCGCTTTTGTGCATGCTTTTCATGTTGGTAGTTTCAAGGGGTGGTTTAACAAACAACATTGTGATATTTTCCTAACTTAGGACCTACCTCTCTATGATGATCACTCTGGTGATTCATGGGTGCCAGAGGAGATTCATGGAGATCCTTGGTGGAAGGGCTCATTTTCTAAGTTGTTAAGGTTTCATCCCAAAGGCATAAATTAAGAATGGATAGCCTTAAAGATATTCTTAGCTAGGCTGCTTCATTGCAATTGCTGTTAAGGAAAAGTATGAGCACTCTCCGAATGATTGCATTCTATTGGTGAAACAGCTTGTGAACTCTGAGAGCTTGTCACAGAGACCACTCACCTTCATTCCAGCTGACTTTGTCCA